TATGTTCCTTGTTATTCGAAACAGCTTTAACAGGTGAAAACTAAACAGTTAGTAACGTGTGGTGTCCCGTACGTTAAGTACAGGTATTGATATGGGTATAGCCATATGGGTTATCACTTCATGTTCTCTTGTTAGATTCACTCCTCAGCTTTTGCTGAGCGTGTAGTTGTTTTTGCTGCACGCAGGTAGACATGACGGAGCAGGTGCCAACCCTGGAGAGCGGTGACGATGACGAGATGGGCGGCGCACGGACGAACTCTTAATTACTTTCAATAACTTCATTAATCAATTGAGCGTGAACCCACCCTTGTCGTTATTTAGTTTGGACTGAATTTATTTAATTACTTCCGCAATTACTCTGCACTTTTATTACACACGTATTGGGAGTAACTCCCTGGCATTTATTCCTTTAATTAGAACCCAACCGTTTTCTTATTAAATAAACATTTATGTTTCCGTAACGGATGGTTCTCGGACTGTCCATGTAACCCTACCGGTTCGTTGTGTCGCGGGTGAACCGGGTCCACGGAAGGCGGGTGTTACAATTTGGTATCAGAGAGGTTCGGTTTTTGAAAAAAAAACACACAACTTGTCGTCAAAAGTCCACAGCCGCATCTCCCATCGCATCACTCCCAAGGAAAGGTACACCGTTATTTAGATCACATGTATGTCATATTATAACTAGTTCTGATTTAAGTTATTCCTTTAGAGAATGAGTCAAGCAGCTGGCAATGACGGACAGGCGGTCCCAGAGGGGGAGCCTGAGCACGTGAGCGTGCACACTGAAGCGTCGAGCTTCACACCTCAGCAGGCCTCTGAGCAGGCGGTCCCGGGCGTGGGCCCTATACCGGAAGCCATCCCTATAGTCCAGCCGTAGTTCGCGGCTAACTTCATGAACTTCCTCCAGCAGATGGCTGGAGCTTACGTGCCTTCACCGCCACCACCGCCGCCACCAGTGGCGGTGGTCACTATCGAGAAACTCTGGAAGAATGGAGCTGAGGAATTCTTGGGCGATCAGATTGCCGACCCCATGATTGCCAAACGGTGGTTTGAGCGAACCATCCGAGTGTTGGGGAACGTGAGGGTTCCACAAGAGCAGCGTGGCGACCTCGCAGTCGCATTACTTCAGGATTCCGCCTACGACTGGTGGAAGCGTGTGGGAGCAGGCGTCCCGGAGCCCGTGCAGTGGGCCACATTTGACCGACTCTTCCACGAAGAGTACATCCCTGAGCACTTCGTCGAGGCGAAGCGGGAGGAGTTTTTGAAGTTCACCCAGGGTGAACTCACACTGCCTGAGTATCGTTAGAAGTTTGACGAGCTCGCGGGGTTTGGGCTAGACCTCGTACCGACCGTGGAGAAGCGATGCAAACGCTTCGTGGAGGGTTTACGTCCCGACCTTTCGACCCATCTGATCATTGCTCCCCGGAGTGACATCAATGTGTTGTACAAGAATGCGTTGGATTTGAACGCGGCCCTCATCAAGAAGGCTGAGTATGAACAGACGCTAGGAGTGTCATCGGCACCATCTCGTCCTCCTCCACCCCAGAAGGCGGGGACCAGCAGCAAGAGGTCCTTTACAGCGCCGAGCAACCCTCACCAGAGTAAGAAGGTGAAGTCAGCCCCAGCTTAGTCACCTGCGTCCGTACAGAAGAAGGGCAAGAGCGGGGATGGGTTTCGCAACCCGATTTGCGACCTTTGTGGGCGCAGCCACCCAGGAGAGTGTTGGTACACTCTTGGCCTGTGCCTTGGGTGTGGCCAGGCCGGTCATTTCCGAAAAGATTGTCCGAAGAATCCGGGTGAGGCATTCTCGACCGCACCAGCCGCTCCAGCCCCAGCAGCGCAGCCCGCCCAGAGTCAGAAGTCGGCGGCAGCATCTAGCCAGCCCAAACGGCAGGCATCTGGCGCTCAGGCGGGGAAGGCCCGTACTTACGCAATGCGAGGGCGTACCGAGCAGCCCGCCCATGACGTCATCATGGGTATGTTCACCTTATTCGATACATCTATTACAGCTTTGATTGATCCGGGTTCCACTTTATCATATGTTTATATGCCTATGCCTGTTATGCCTAACATTCCGAGGGAAAATTTAGACAATCCGGTTTTAGTGTCCAACCCATTGGGACACAGTCTACGACTCACCCATGTGTATCATGATTGCCCATTAGTGGTCCGGGGAAAAATTTTCCCTGCGAGTCTCATTGAGCTTCCACATCGTGAGTTTGACGTTATTCTGGGCATGGATTGGCTCACCGCCAACCAAGCCGTTGTTGAATATGGAGTTCATACTGTTCGACTGAGAGCCGAAGACGGTAGTGACGTACTGATCCATGGTGAGCTTCTTCCGAAAGCTCAAGAATTCATTTCCTACATTCATGCTCGTCGACTCATTCGCAAGAACTGTGAAGCATTCTTGTGCACAGTGCGTGACACTTGTCAGGAGGTGCCTGGTAGGGGGGATATCCCTACGGTATGTGACTTCCCTGATGTGTTTCCGGATGACTTACCTGGTCTACCACCCCCAAGGGAGGTAGAGTTTTCCATTGACCTTGTTCCAGGAACAAGACCGATCTCGATCACACCTTATCGCATGGCGCTTACAGAGATGAAGGAGCTGAAGGCTCAACTGCAGGAGTTGCTGGATAAGGGCTTCATCCGGCCTAGTGTGTCTCCTTGGGGAGCACCGGTTCTGTTCGTCCGCAAGAAGGACGGATCGATGCGGTTGTGCATTGATTACCGTCAGTTAAACAAAGTTAGCATCAAGAATCGCTATCCGTTACCCCGCATCGACGATTTGTTTGACCAATTGAGAGGAGCCACAGTTTTCTCTAAGATCGATCTCCGATCAGGGTACCATCAGATTCCCGTCAAGAAGGAGGACATTCCTAAGACGGCTTTCCGCACGAGATACGGTCATTACGAGTTCACAGTCATGCCCTTTGGTTTGACTAACGCACCAGCAGTGTTCATGGATCTGATGAACAGTGTGTTCCGGAAGCATCTTGATCAGTTTGTTGTGGTCTTCATCGATGACATCCTGGTGTACTCCAAGACACAGGAGGAGCATGCCGAGCATCTGCGTGTCGTTCTGAGCATTCTTCGGGAACAGCAGCTTTATGCCAAGCTGTCCAAATGTGAGTTCTGGTTGCACGAGGTTACCTTCCTCGGCCATGTCATCTCGGCCGAAGGTGTGAAGGTAGACCCGTGTAAGATAGCAGCGGTCACGGAGTGGAAGACTCCGCGGAATGCACGTGAGGTGAGGAGTTTTCTCGGACTGGCGGGTTACTATCG